AAATAGAAAATAAACGTAATATACAGAAAATAAATGAAAGTAAAAGCTGGTTCTTTGAAAGGATAAATAAAATCAATACACCACTAGCGGGACTTGTTAAGAAGAAGAGAGAAAAAAGGAACCAGGTGAGCAGAGGGCAGTTAGGAGAAGAATGATAAAGCAGGATTAGTGGTGTAATTTGCTGGAGGAGATGACAGTTTACCTATTTTATTGATTTAATTTATACCTAATATTACTTGAAAACAAAGTTTGTCTACATGCAGAATTATGTGCATTATAATAGTAAGGTCAAAAAGAAGGTTAGGGCCAGCAGGTAGTGTGGTGGTTGAGGTGCTGGATTCCCACATGGCTGACCACAGTTCAAGTCCTAGGCCTGTTGGCTGGAAAATGAGGGTAGGTGCGTGTGAATGCATGTATGTGCACGTGCTCAAAATCCTAAGAAGGTAATGGAGAAGAAGGAATTACCGCATGGCCCGCACCTCAGGGATGATTTCTCACTTTCTGTCTCTCTGTCTCTCTCAGGCGAGCACACCAGCCCTAGGGTAAAAACAACAGCAAAGAAAGTTAAAAGTATATAGTTAAAAAAAAATTAAATTGGCATTTAGGAGAATTAGTACACGTGAATTCATGTTGTAGTTCCTACACTAATATCAAAGAAAGATGAAGATGTTTAGTGTGTTTCTGAGCTTTCTATGACCAAGAAAAAGTCAAGAATATAATTAAGGATTTATATTATCCATAGAACAACAACATTCTCTTTGCATCAAAGTCTGAAAAAAAGTTTCAACTGTGGGTTCTTATCATGGAAAACAAAGGGTAATACAGTAGATAGTATCTTTTTTTTAATTTTTAAAGAATTATTTTAACTTTATTATTTTTTATTTATTTTTTAATATACATTCGCTCACATTGTTTAGCTTACAAAGTGAACATTTCAGTGTGTGAACATTTCTCCCCAGTCCAGTTGATCATCATATTAACAGGAATAAAGATAAAACCATATGGTCATATCAATTGATGCAGAAAAAGCATTTGATAAGATACAACGACCCTTCATGATCAAGACTCAGCAAAATCGGCATAGAAGGGCCATTTCTCAGCACAATAAAAGCCATCTATGAAAAACCCATAGCAAACATCATCCTGAATGGAGAAAAGCTAAAAGCTTTCCCACTAAAAATGGGAACAAGACAAGGATGCCCACTTTCTCCACTCCTTAATACAGTACTGAAGTCTTAGCCAACGCAATCAGAAAAGAAGAAAAAAATGAAAGGCACCCGAATAGGAGAAGAAGAGGTGAAACTCTATTTGCAGATGACATGACTGTATACATAGA